ATAATGTAAATATCTCTTTCACATCGTGTTCATTGATTAAATATTGAATATCGTATGAATATAGTACTTGGAAGAATTTTAAAATTTTATTCGTATAATTAGATGTTATCTTTCTCTAATTTTTTTTTTCTTTTTTTTGAGGAATTTTTTGTATTTTTACGTTTTGTTGTAAAATATTTGAAGAATTGATTCAACTCATAATATTGGAATAAAAGTGATAAATTAATGATTGTATAAATTTTGGAAATTGCATACAATACTCCTTTGCCATGGGAGTGGCTCGATTTCCTGTCATATCTCATTGATAGACAGGAAAGTTATTCTCAGATTTGATGAATAAACATATCGAATAATCTAAAATCTTACTCATTCGTTGATCATTTTCATTCATATATATGACTATAAATGGAATTATTTGTTTTTAATTTTATATCTTCTTGTAACTTTTCTCTTGCAATAAAACGTAATTAAATTATAAATATAATTTATTGTGAATTATCATTCTAGCTAACAATCTTTAAAATGTAGTCTTATTAAAATAAAAATTATAAAAAAATATAAAATATAATTTATTTGTAACATTTTATTAATGTAAAAATATAAAAATTAAATATTATCTTAAATTTATAAAAAATTCTTATTAACATGAAACGTAAGATTCGTATCGAATCGTTCGATTATTCTATTTATTATCCAATAGGTAAATATTATGTGCTATATTCGTCGGAAAATCAATACGAGAGCTAATTAGATGAAACGAAGGCATCGTATATTATTAAAATTTATTGAAATATATTTTTATCGTTTAAACAATCTTACTTGAAGGAAGAAATAATTCCAAAATTAAAAATATTCCACAATATTCCACAAGATTGTTCGGGAATTATTGTTGACTCAAAATTTTTTGGGACACGTTATATTACAGACAGTCGAAGAGAAATTGGCCGTACACCCAAAGTCAATGACTTCGTGGCTTGGTTTAATTGACCTAACGACGGGATCTTTTCACGGCTTTAGGAATCAAGGCCATTGCGTATACGTATTTAATACAACTTAATATATGTTTCATAGATATTGGAAGTATTTTTCCAGATACATAAAAACTAGCTATATATAGAAAGATATGAAGATATCTTAAATACATTGAATATCTTAATTTGTCTAATTTTATTAATATAAGATAAAGTTAACACTATTATGATCTAAAATATCTAAAATCACATATGCTTGATCGAATTGTAAAAATGGTATAGTTTTTTCTTTTAGAAATTATGTTCTGATATATATCAAGAGATTTTGTAAATCATTCGAATGTAAAAAAATATCAGAGGAAAAATTTTCATAACGAATTTTTCGATTTTAATAAGACTTGAGAAATTAAACGATTCATTATTTTTCCGCTTAACGGAGTAGAAAATTTTTTAGGGATGCAAAATAGAAGTTAAAAAAATGAAACATCCACGAAAAATTTTCCTTTCCTGTGGTATTTGTTATCATACGGATGTCAGTATCCTATGAGATAAACATTTCCGATTTCCCAATAACGATGGAGCGTTTTTCATGGTTCTCTTTCTCGGAAGATCTTCTAAAATTAATTAAGCTCCTTAACATGCGCATCACGATATAATTAGAGCGATTCGTTCAAAGTAACAACTAACAAGAGTGCGTTCACACCCACATAGACATTAAGTAAAATATATATAAAAGCATCAAATATGGATGGATATTACGATATTTTTAAATCTTTTATTATACATAATTTTTATATTTTAATGTATCTGTAAAAGTATGTAGTATTTGATTTTCTTTGCTACACATAATTTTAATATTTAATATAATTTTAATTATAATTTTATAATAATATTTTATGAAATAATTTTTTTCCATATTATATTTAAATACGTATATTTAAATACGAAATAATATATGGAATAAAAATAATTTAAAATGAAGTATAAAATAAAATTTTTTAATAATTTTGAATTAATTTTTTAATGAAATTCGTGAATAATTAGTGAAAAACAAATTAGATGAATAAATGTTCTCGTTTATATGCAAATTATCAAAAATAAATATTTAAAAAAATTCAATCTTTAGAGATAATAAAAAG